TTTCTGTTTATGTTAGGTAAGACAGGCCAAGAAAAAGGGTTTTGTAACTTTCTATGTAGAAAACTAGCATTTCTAGACTATAAAAACAATGATTTCTCCAGCCGGGTTAGTCCATGGTTTTGGGCAAAATTAGGAAATCTCTTTATTTCTTCTTTTTAGGTAAGATACGCCAAAAAAAAGTGATTGGTAACGTTCTATATAGAAAACTAGCATTTCTAGTCTATAAAAACAATGATTTAAAAAAGTCGAAAAATTTGCATTTCTCCAGCCGGGTTAGTCCGTGGTTTTGGCCAAACTTATGAAATGTCTTTATTTCTTCTTTTTAGGTAAGATACGCCAAAAAAAGTGTTTGGTAACGTTCTAGATAGAAAACTAGCGTTTTTAGACCATAAAAACATGGATTAAAAAAACAGTCGAAAAATTGGCAATTTTCCAAAGGGGTTAGTCCATTGTTACGGCCAAAATTATGAAATTTCTTTATTTTTTCTTTTTAGGTAAAATACTTCAAAAAACGTGTTCGGTAACGTTCAAGATAGAAAACTAGCATTTCTAGACTATAAAAACATGGATTTAAAAAAATCGCAAAATTGGCATTTTTCCAAAGGGGTTGGTCCATGGTTTCGGCCAAAATTATCAAATTTTTTTATCTCTTCTTTTTAGGTAAGATACGTTAAAAAGAAGGGCTTCGTAATGTTCTACATAGAAAATTAGTATTTCAAGACTATCAAAACATGGATTAAACAAAGCCGAAAAATGGACAATTTTCCAAAGGGGTTAGTCCATGGTTTTAGACAAAATTATGAAATTTGTTTATTTCATCGTTTTAGGTAAAATACGCCAAAAAACGTGTTTGGTAACGTTCTAGATAGAAAACTACCATTTCTAGACTATAAAAACATGGATTTAAAAAAGTCGCAAAATTTGCAACTTTCCAAAGGGGTTAGTCCATGGTTTTAGCCAAAATTAATAAGTTTCTTTATCTGTGCATCTTAGGTAAGGCAGGTCAAGAAAAAGAGTTTGGTAACTTTCTAGATAGAAAACTAGCATTTCTAGACTATAAAAACAATGATTTCAAAAAGTCGAAAAATTGGCATTTTTCCAAAGGGGTTAGTCCATGGTTTCGGCCAAAATTATGAAATATCTTGATTTGTTCTTTTTGGGTAAAATACTCCAAAAAAGTGTTTGGTAACGTTCTAGATAGAAAACTCGCATTTCTAGACTATAAAAACATGCATTAAAAAAAGTCGCAAAATTGGCAATTTTCCAAAGGGGTTAGTCCATGGTTTTGGCCAAAATTGTGAAATTTCTTGATTTCCTCTTTTTAGATGAAATACCCCCAAAAAACTGTTTGGTAACGTTCTAGATAGGAAACTAACATTTCTAGACTATAAAAAGAAGTCGCAAAATTGGCATTTTTCCAAAGGGGTTATTCCATGGTTTTAGCCAAAATTTTGAAATTTCTTTTTCCTTTTTTTAGGTTAAATAGGCCGAGAAACAGCGTTTGATAACGTTTATGGTAGAAAACTACCCTTCCTGGACTATAAAAACATCGATTTAGAAAGGCAGTAAAATTGCCATTTCCAGGGTTGGTTCTATTATTTGCAAATGGGGGATCAAACGTGATCTTGAATGATGGCGTTACGGAGCGTATCGTGACAAGTGTTTTCAATTCGCCTCATTGTCATCTTAGAATTTCTCCAAGGGGATTAGCGGATGTTTTTGGGTCAAATTTATAAAATTTTCTTTTGTTTGTTTTTCTTCAAGACGGTCTAAAAATGATATTTGGCGATGTTTTAGAGTAGTAACAAGGCCTCCTAGATTACATCAAAGTACTAATTGGCATATTCTTTTTCTTTAATTAACTCACTACCCTAACCTTCTTGAAAATAAAGAGTTTGAGTTAGAGGACTCTTTGTTTTAAAAGCTTTTCTTGGTCCTACCTCCTTACCTGGGAATTCTCGCCCTTGTCACGTGGTCCTCAACCGTGACGCAAAAATGCGGTGCACGCACACTCTGAAATCAGGAAAAGAATTTAAAGGAAATGCGCGCGCACATTAAGTGTTATTCCTGATCAAACTGGTAAATTCACAGTTTTTCTCCTTATGCAGTATTAACGAATTATTCATGAATGTGCAGTTGTCCACAAACGAACTGCTTTTATTGCAATCACGCTCCTAATGGTAAATATCCACATACGTTACGCTTCATTCAGGTTATTCGAAGTACTTGACCATTGATGACGGTATAATGAGATCCAAATCTATAACGTCAGTTTTAACAAATATCGTCCGTAACATAAAACAAGAAAGCAAAAGCTGGAAGTTTGTAAATGGTGTTCGTTGAATTGCTTCTCTTTCTTTTTCACCTTCCCTTCTCGTTGGCAGTTCTATTTATTTGTGTTTTTACGCTGGTGGTGAGTACTGTCTTCGATCTTTTCTACAGTCTCATGACGTATTTTATGGTGAGTAACTTACATTTCAGTCTACTTTCTTTTGTTTGATGGTGTCAATACGAAAATAGGCTCAAAGAATATTAGAAGTACCTACACAGTTAACCATTATTTTTCATTGCGTTAATACAGTATTTTATCTTAAAATATTAAAACTTATCCGACCTACAATCGGGAAGCGCCTGTCGAAATAACTTTACTTTTTTGCTTGCGCATCGCACAGCATGCAGTGTTTCGGGATAACGTTTCGTCTCTACAAACAAGAACAAAACTACTCACGACTGTTTAAAGGGCGATTTTCCAAACTAAACATCCGCTTATAATTTGGTTTATGGGTCTTGATGTGTCTACGAAGAGTTGAACCCGATTTTTTAAAAAGTAATTACACGCTAGGATGATCCTATATAGTTTAGATGGATAGGGCTATGGTCTCCAAGTTTACATTTTATCAACGTATGGAAACTAACATGTATTTATCTATAATTTTATTCTCCAAGCCCAGTAGGCCACTACGCCCCTTACTGCCACCTGTTGTTCCTACTCCATCTCCTGCTTGTCCAGTCTTCAAGGAACTAACTGTACGACGTAAAATCGTTCAACAAAAGAAACCTTTCAACGAACGCAAACTAAATCCTATCGAAAAAGAGCGCGTAGGGAGAGTTCAAGGAATGATTTCTGCTCACGAGCAAGGCTTACGAAGACTACAAAAAGGGCGCAAACAAGCAATAGAGACCAGAAGAGCACTGGACAGAATAATGAAAAGAGTTGCGCTCGAACGCGCAGAGACAAAGGAGGCGTCAAATGAGGCGTTTTCATATTTGATCGCCCGACAGAAGGAGAAACAAAAGGAGCTTCGTGATTGGGTAGGAAGCTTAAAAGAATCTGGCGGGAAATCTAGAGCCTTGATGCAAAAAATGACGAGTGAATCAGTCACGAAGAATTCAGTGAAAGGAAGTCAGGATGGAGGCGCCTTAGGCCTCAAAGTAGAGACAGCCGTCACAGTAAGAGCAAATGACACCGAATCGACTGACAAATCTGGAAATGAAAGAAGTAGGTCAAATTCAGACCCTCGTTGCCAAGGAAACACGATCACATCCCGGGCCGATAGGATGACCTTCGATGGAATAAATCAGGTGCGCTCCTTCATTGATAGCCTACGTGGCATGCGTCGAAAGGGGAGCAGGAGGGAGGGGACTGATAGGGGAGAGAGGATTTCCCCTCCCCTCCCCTCACCTTTCTTATGGCGCCTGCCACGCAAGGCACTTCGTTAAACTGTTAATATCGATGCTAATTTTAGGCAGAGTTACAGTTTGTAGATATGTACCGATTATCTAGAACTATTTGATTTTTGTTTCTCTAATTTATTTCTCCAGGAAACGACGCCAAGCCCATCAAAACGTCGTCATTGGAGATTTGGAGATACTAAGACCATCAAAATGAAGGTATTTTTAAAACATCTATGGTCTAAAAACTTGGTTTTAGGCTGTAATATAGTTAATATTTATTTCGCGATTTCTACTCCAGGTACCAATAAAAACACAGTGCGAAATTGACGTGTTATATACAGCCTTGTTTGAGGGACAAACGCCGTAGCGCGCTCCTGTCCACCCTACAATATTAACGATAACTTCTTTGTTCTCAACAGTTCAGCCCAAACAACAAGCTTGTAAATACATTTGACCACGGTTCTGTGGAAGACGGCTTCTACGTTGATCTTTAGAAAGAGAAAGCATATTTATCTCGAGATAATACTAATAATTTATGAATTTATGAATTTATCTTGTGCAGGCTTCATGGATGTATGATCGCCTGCGTATAATACAAAAAAATGAACACATCCGAACATTAATTACAAATAACCTCGTTCCCAGGGCTTTTCCCTAAGAGAATGGGAGGGGAAAGAAAAAACCTGGGAACGAGTTTGGCTTGGAAGCAAGTTCTTACCAAGAAGTTCTTAATCCCAAGTTCTTATCTCTCTCCTCCACATGCACAGAGGCTTCCACTGGGTATTCCAGTAAAAAAAAAAAAGCAATAATCGAAAAATAGAAAGCGCGCGTGGGACGATGGGAAGAGGGAAAAGGCGGGAGCTCTCTTCTCTCTTTCCCCTTCCCATCGTGCCGCGCTCTTTCTCTTTCTCCTCCCCAGACTCCTACAACACAAAGAGGCCTCCGCGGAGAGAGGGTTCTTACCAGAGTGTCGAAAAGACAGCGCCCAGATTAAATGAGATTTTATGCATTGTTAGGTAATAGAAAGTTCACTATACTCATACCGTATTACTGCTCTCTCCGTGGATCTCAGTACAATGACTTTTAATTTCTTTTGTAAAAGTATTATATATCTTTAACAGAATGCTTATGTGAAGATTTGTAAAGTTGGGCGAAAGATTGTATTATATACACGAAAAATAATGCACGTGCAATAAAATCAGGATTTAAGGTAAAACGCTGTACCCTCAGCTCTTAAACGGGATATGTCGCAAACTATAAAAATAAGCTTAAAACGTAATTAATTTTTGCCATGCCTTCTTGCCGGCAAGGTAGACTAGGATAGCATTTTTCTGTTGTTGTGATCTCATGGTTGAGTGGGGCCGTACAGTCGAACCCCACTTTACGGACACGGACAATATTTCTTGCCCGATCGACATGGATTTATATAGAAATACGGACATTGCTTTATCAACTGTGTCCTGCAGTGAGCTTCTCGTTAAGAGAAGTTAATTGAGAAAATCACAACTTTTCCATTCATTACTAACTGTATTTTAGTTACAAATTAGACTTAGTTCTAGCGAGTATAAAATAAATTAAGTAAAGAATAAATAAGAGCCTTTTGAACACTTTTGCCTATTCTGATACACTTAGTCCACGGAATAATTGTTATTTGTACGTTAGTGATGTTTAGTTTGTTGAGGTTAATGTTCTGTTTTTGATATTTTGCTTCTATGAACCCTTTTTTTTGTAATTAATACGGACACTTAACAAGGGACACATTTTTGACTCAATCAGTGACTGTATATGGCCCCTCAGTGTCTGTATTAAGGGGGATTCGACTGTAAGCGATTTTCCGATTACGAAAACATCTAATTGCTTCTTGAATGTAGCCTGTACACGGATTTTGGTTTCTTTTTTCTTTTCTAAAATCGACGAGCACGCGAGCGAGGCGAGCGCTTGAAAGCGATGAATTCAATAAATTCCCCACCGTTTCTATTTTCATACGTACGCTCTACGATCTCTAAAGAGAAAATTGAGGGTCCGTGAACAGGCTATCATGAATTTATTTAGCAATACATCTTAGTATGCGACATACCCCTTTTGTGCTTCTACTCCCGCATTATACCTTTCGTGTACACTTTGTACGATGGCCTCTGTGATAAGCCTCATAATATCAAGGAAATAACAATATATTTATATACACGTTCATGTTAATAACATATATACACTTTTTCTAAGAACAATAAATACAACTCTTATAGTGCTTTCTTCATAATGTAAAATTTTCTCTCACTGATATCCTTTCAGTATTTTGGCAGCCTTCAATTCTTTTTTCAGCCTAATGGTGTTGCACAACTGAAGTAAACCAACAGTAAATTTTCGTAATGATAACTTCAAAACTTCATACATTAATTTCTAATATTTGATAAAACATCTTGCTACTCAAATTGCGTGACATCATTACTCGGTGACAGGAATATGTATCACGCTTTTCATATATACTGCCAAAGAAGCAAGGGTGTCACGTAAATTGAACGAAGAATCTTTGCTTAAATGAAGCCAGCATGCTGAAGGCACAGAAATTGCGCTAAATGTCATCAACGCAACGTTTTAACCTTCTGGACAGAATTAATCATCATCTCTGTAGCTTTGTCACTTTGATTAACGCAAAAATGCCTTTTTGATTTGTTTGATGAGTTATGACTTCGACAGTTGACTTCCGGTGTCAAAGGAACACGTCATTCCGGCTCACCTGAGGAATCATTGTACCCAGGTCATGGCAGCCGTTATGACGCAAAATATCAGCGCATTCTTTACTCCCAGCATTCTTTGCGTGCCACAGAGCTGAGCGACCTCTCCCGTCAAGAATCCGTACATCTGCAAAATACTGGAAAAGAGATGAAACTCTGTTAACATCAAAAAAGGTTTTCACAACTGCATGGTTTGAATTGCCTTTTAAAATCAAGGAAACTTTCCCGCCACCAAGATGGTAAAAGTACACTATATGCTTTACGTTGTTATGTCTGAGCATTGCAAAAAAGTGCGTTTAAGCCACATCCCGTAATCCAAAATAAAAGGTAAAATGCAGGAAAGACCTCCGAAGGTACTCAACAAAATTTTAAACGGGGAGGCTCCGCTCCGAGGTCTGATCCTTAACCCTTTTATATTCCATTTTGGACAAAAAAGGTACCCCTTACGTATTGCTTCTATTGACAAAATTAATGGTACCCATTTCACATACCTAGTTTAGAACTATGCATCTGTTTTAACCGCTGCAAATACACTATCTTTAAATAGACATGAATCGGAATAAATCACAAAACCAGAACGCTTTGTCGACTTTTTTACAGCTGTAAAATACACCTGTTAGCCCTTTTGAGACTTGTTAACAACCCAAATTACAGATTTTCCTACCCTTTCATATAGTTCAACTTAAGCAATCCCTACCCTTTCATATACCTGAAGCCTTAAAAAGGTTACCTTTTCGATCGGACCCTCATGTCCCATAGCTTAATTTCTACATCATGTAGATCAACCGAAGCTTTGACATCTAGTGCTTGCTACCTACCCAAATAAGGAGTTGCGTAATGACAATATTTCCTAGTGAACAGCTTAAATGAAGTGGTGTGCAACTTTCGCGGTCTTCGTAGATGGTGTTAAGATCTTCAGGTGTGCAATGAGCCAAGAGTAGTATACACTGCGGTAAATCTTCTCTAATTACAGCTTCTAGGAGTTGCTGTTGAAAATAAATAAAATCGTTGTTTAGTTTTGTTCAGATAATATAGAGATTTAGCCAAGGCAAAAAGCAACGCTCCCGTTCATAAATTTAATTTACCTCAAACAACGAACTCAGGGGTTTCAATAAAAATTGAAGTAGTCAGCAGACAGGCAAGTGATGGATTTTAAATTATAGTAGAACGGTGAAATCAATTCTGCTCGTCAAAAAGTTTTGGGAGTTTGTTGAAATGACATTTGGGCTAGTAAATGCTAGCTTCAGCTTGCCTGAATGGCAAGCTGTAAAAATGACTTTCTTTGCACCCTGATTAGGGCTAGGAGAAAAAGGAAATTGAGAATCAACCTAAAAAAAACCCTGTTAGCCCTTAAAAAAAAATTAACCTGAAATCAAATTTGACCTGTAACATATACATCCTCTTCATGGCCACCTCAGTCCCTAACAAGGACTCGCGAGTTTGTCCCCACTATTCTTCAGCCATTTTCTCTGGCTTTCAAAAATGCCTACACCTCTCTTAGTTCTAACCACAAACCAAATGAAGGCTATCTTTAAAAGAGCTCACATCACATTGCATACTCACTTCGCCTAAAGAAAAATCGCTCGGTGGAAGTTCTTGAAGAAATTCTTTCCCCTCGTATTTCGCTCTGATCCACTTTTCTTTCTCTTCTCTGAAACACAAAGAATTCACTTGAAACAAACAAACAAAAAAGTAACAAGCTTGAAAACTGACATCATTAAGGGCTACGGGCCGGGAATTCTCACGGCTACTATTAACGAGGCCCCGGCTACTTTCATAGCAATAAAGACGAAAAATAGGGACAAAAGATTTCTCGTTGCTTGATTTCCCGCCGACTCCTTGTATTTACTGGGCAACTTGAAAGCCCTATCATCATCATCATCATTATCAATCCTAACCCTAATCATACCAATTAACTGACCCCTTCCTACTTTGCAGTATGTCACTAACAGTAATAAAGTCATAAGTTCACATTTCAACTATTCTACCGAAACGTTTGTGCTTTCTTTTTCTTCTTGGTTGCGATCACACGGACCTTAGGCCTCAGGGCGAGAGCCATTTCATCATTAGCTTGCCCTTTAACTGCTGTAATTTTTAATTTACCTTGGAGACGACGGTGTTGGCTTCGTTTTGTTCTGTATCCTTCCTTCCCATACACTGTTAGCAAGAGTGTTACCAATGGAGCTGATTACAGCAGTTAATTCAAACCTGAATAATAAAAACAACATATTATATTGCCCGCCTGGTCTGTTATTGACTAAATACTGTTTTACAGGCCATTCAACAAATCTAAGAAGGATGATACCTTTAAAATGAGCCGGCCTATCATTCCCTTACAGAATAAGAGCGCATATCAAACGAAAAATGGGGTGTATTTGACCGGCTGTTAACAGCATCTCTGACAATGACAATAACATCGAGAAAACTGTACCCTACTAAGGAAAACCCTCAGCCTTATATACTTCTTGGTATGTTGTTACTTAAATCATAAATTGAGAAGTTACTTACGGCCAGTCGTCCAGATCAAGTGATCGAACTCTGGACAAATGTGTACCAAGGTTTCGATGCATTCCACTACATTCTATGCACATCAGTGCTCCGAGATTTAGTGATACCCAATCGGGATCTGGGAATGAACACACACATGAACACTAGTTATTAACCCTTCAAGCCCAATATCCACATACAAATTCTCCAAACTGATCTCCATACATTCCCTTACAGAATAAGTTGAGAGAACTTGTTTGAAGATCAGAGCATTTTCCGAAGGCTGATCACTTTATTAATTCTCACAACATTTTCTCTGGATTATGTGTGGATATCATTAGGAGAAATGTGATTTTGGTCACTCTTGGGACTAAAGGGTTAAGATGCAGCCATTTAATGGTCTGCTACACAGCCGCTTTTAGTGTCATCCCTCAACGCTCCTGCCCAAGGAAAGTTGCGTGACGATACTAAAAACGGCTGTAGAGCAGACCCATTTAATAGCAATTTAGCTGATATCCTCCCACGCAGTCGTTCCTAGGGATTCTTCACGCATTCCTTCCCTACGAATTGGTTGATTCTCGGGTAATTTGCAGCCGATCTCCAGCTGATATTTGCAAAAAAATGGAAAAGGAATTTAAACGCTTGTTTTAGCAGACGTTGGTCGGGCAGGACGGCGTGACGAAGCAAGCTCGAAGATCATCTGCGTTGGAGGCTATTAAACAGACGGAGGAAAATCTTGCATTGTGCATCATTTGCTAACAACAAAAATTCAGCTGAACTCGTAAATTATGCTTGCTCTGTGATGAGTGTAAGCATGGGTTTGCTATAGAATTTTATAAGATAGATCAGACTTCATAAGCTGTGCTTTCCGCGTTGCGCTCTGTATTTTAGTTAGAGTTGCTTTTAAGTTTATTTTTTGGAAAATATTTCACTGTTTCCAATTAAAATTGTATTTACGCTAGTGTATGCTAAATAAGGAAGACACAGTCAGAGAGGACCTGATGAACCAAGCTTTCACAATTTATAGCATTTATTAAATGCAGTCAAACTATTTTTGCTATAGAGGCAAAACAACGTTACCGACAATTGTAAAATACATAGCAAAAGTGTCACAGGACAACCAACTCACTTGGTGCACCACAGTCTACACAAACATCATTCCCATCTGTGTTTCTAATTGACAGCATATCAAAACCATTCGCTGATGAACTGCTACTACCCCGTGTCTAAAATGAAAAATATATATATGTATCAGTATGTTGCATGTAGTTAATTTCATCTCAGGTCATTTTTATTTGCTCTTTTGTTTCAACTTCATTAGCATACATTATCATACCCAAAAACAAAAACTGGGAGAGGGTAAGGCCTTTGTTGATCATCTGCTGAATGTTGCTAGAATGCAGTTTTGAACCCAGGCCTAGTAGCTGTGCACTTGGTACAGAGGACTCCGTTATGACCATCGGTTTATCGATAAACAGATGCTCGCAGTTGAAAAAACCAGTATGACAAGATAAAATACGATTGACTAGCCTAGAAGATGGGGCTGCGGTAACTTCAAAGACTTGACACAATTCAGGCAGAGCCACTTGAACCTCCTTTTCTTCTCCATTACAATGAGACAAAAGGAGCCTTAGTTTGCAGGGGGCTGTTTAACAGACTGTGTTGCATGATTTTCATTATCACCATCCCCTGGGTAACCAGTCAAGTCACCCAAAAGTCATAGAGAGTTAATAAAGAGTGTGTGCCCTTTATATCGTTCTTAAGATTTGCTGAGACAAAACAAGCACAATAAAAATGTTAGGATGTTGTTGAGCATGATAAAAATTTGGTCAACATAACTCAGCATTTCGGGTGACTTAACTAAAAATTTCGGGTGACAGAGCTTCGGCCGAGATGACTTTCGGGCGACTTGACCATAACCCACCATTACCGGTACATGCATTACCTTTTCCCTGCCACTCTCATTCGACTGTAAACATGAAAGAATCTGCTGTTCTATTGCTTGTACCCAGTCATCACGTTCCTGAAAAAGAAAATACAAAGAGCAAAGTTAGTGAAAAATAAAACAGCTTCAATATTGTACATATTGATTCTACTTTTTGTTGTTGTGTTAGAAATAGTATGCATCTGTCAGTCTCAGGAGACTATGGATTTGGGTTCTGGCCAAGCTGGACTTGACAGCATTTTCTATGGCTGCACAGTCCAATGTGGGAGTAGTAGTCCTTTCTGCAATGTGTGCTGATGTAGTTGAATTGTATAATGGTCAAAATTCAAAGACAGTTTGAGAGAGACAAAGACAGTCTGAGATAAAAGGAAAGGTAAAAATTCAACAGGAATGAAAACTTTTTAGCCAAAAAAAGTACCAGTAAAGTGACTATTGGCTTCACTTTTCAGTCAGACAGAAAAAAAGATGATGATGACACCTTCGACATAAACAAACTTCATGCCAGCAAGTCTGAATTTGTTGTTGAGCCTTGTCTACTTAAATTGTTATATCACAGACAAACACTCCTTCTTGTAAGCCATACATATTTGACAGCTTATCTATTACAGACTATTCCATACCTCTTGAGTAACTGCAGCAAACTGCCAGCTTTTTGCTTCTAACGATACTATAGTGAATTCCCAGTCAGTCATTTCTGCAACAAAGTCAACGCTCTCTTAAAATCAACTCCCTAACATGAACACGTAAAGTTGGTCCCTACCATTCTTCAGTCCTTTATGTGAATCTCAATCAAGTGGACACTCCTCTAATTTGGATATAACCTGCTGGTGCTATTTTTTTATGTTTTTCAGGTGAGCAAAAAGCGGACATGGAATGCATGACACACACGATGAAGGAAGGTGCAGAAAAAATAATCTATAATAATAATAATAATAATTTAAAATAATTTTTAAAATATTTTTTCTGTGTCTTCCCCCATTGTGCATGTCTTGCACTCCACCTCAGCTTTCTGCTCGCCTGAAAAACTTGAAAACAAATCACTTTCAAACTTGGCAATTTTCTTAATTTAAAGGCACTCTTATTTCCAGAGGAGTTGATGGATTTTTCCAAACTTGTCCATAAAGAAAAAAATTGAAAAAACCATGGAAAGGTCCATTAAGTGTTAGTGAGCTCACTAACATCTAAGCTTTGTATGAACCCCCCACCCCCAACCCCCTCTTGGAACCCCAGGGAGACCGCATAAGTCCTTTTCCAGCCAAGTCCAGGAATGGATCGGCCCAAATAAGCATGTCTCAGAGGATGACAACGTGTGCACTACCCAAAACCGAGCCAGCTGGAGATGACCTACAGTCGACCGCTCCTTGGCCGACCAGTGACGATGATGATGATGATGACTTGAGAAGCCATAAATGCCTTTAATATAGCATAAATTTCTAGATGCATCTATTACCTGGATCTAAATCAACTTTGGGTCCACTGCCACTTTTGACTCTTCTATGCCCCTTCTTTTTTGCGCTACCTGATATCACATTTATCGACTCCACTTTAGACCCCGATGGTACCACGGCATTGGCTGCAGCAATCGCTAAAGCCTTTTCAAGCTCCTCATAGTCTATTTCACAAGATTTTGTATGCTTGCTTCTTTTGTTCTTTTTCTTAATTACACTTGAAGAATCAGTCTTTGTTGAGTTAGCACTGATATTTGTTGACGCAGGAGTAACTAACTGATTTCCGATACTGGCTAATGCACCATCGATATCATGTTGAGATGAAAGAGAGTTGTAGCTCGTATAAGAATCTGTTCCATTTTGTACACCATCAGTAATGTTAATTCCTATTTCACTGCCACTGTTGTTGTTATCAGTTTCCATAGGAGGTGTTGTTGGCCTTGAATTTCCTGGTAAAAAAATATATAATATTTATTATTCATTCAAAATATTTCCCCAATTCTGATTGGTTAAAAGCACATGCATGATTCACCATAACTAGTTAACGATGACCAAATTTGGAAGAATTTTGTGTTTAACGAGGAAATGACGTCAAAAATGCAGCCTTCTACAGGTTACTGCACCGTTAACCGAGACGACCTGGGGACGAGTTTGTGATTTTGTGGTGAAAACTAAAATGGCAGACACTTCACTTGTTTCAAGAGTAAGAACTACAGCTGGAACTAGGCGAAATAATAGCTAAAAACATAGCAAAAACAGCAAGAAGACAACTCGGAGGATGACATCTGGTATTTAGAGAATATTTGCAGAGCTGGACAAACCTAAACGTACACTTTCGAAGATAAACTTAACATCGATACAGGTAAGCATGTTTTAGCTATGTTTTTTAACTAGGAATTATTTTGAATGAATAATAGATCTAGAGCAATTAATGAATTCAGCTTTCGTACGATAATTCGGCCTCTGTGGATAACACCCTCCTTGATCTGCTTAATTCTTCATATCCTACTCAGCCTTATTCATTAATTGCTAAAAATATAGATTTTACATTTACTAGATTCAGTACTTCTTGATGCACGGCTTGATAACCGTAACAGCATGAGGTCAGATATACAGGTTTATGACAGCCCCTTCCACTTCCTTGAAAAGATCAAACACATTTCCAGGGACTACGCCCTCAACTCTTTTCAAACAGTAGTGAGGATCCTTTTACAACCCCTGACAATTGATAAGGAAGGGAAAAGGAGAGAAAGCTAACAGCTTCACATCACCGCCCAGTGATGTAAACATTGAACTGAAATGAGATCTTCATAGGAATTTTAACCATTCAAAGTGAGAAATGTTTTTAATCTGACCAAATGCAGGGAAGTTGTGGTCTACATAAAATTCATAGACTCCTTATGTACATAGGAATACCCATTTGAATTTGATACCAGTATTGGCAAGGACAAACCAATTCAATTTTCAAATAACAGTGCATTAAAAGATTCTCTAGGGGCATGTTTGACTCAGCTTGACTGTAAGTCAGGTGGCTATCATTCTGTGGAAGTCCAGATTTAAGATAAAAACTACCCTTAAGTTTCAGAGTATTGTTCGCTTGAGAATCGAGTATACCTTAAAAACAAATCATTTCTAGGCATGGAAAGTTTATACAGTACAAGTTTAAATTGTGGTACCTTGAGCTGGTGTGGTAGCTTTAGGTGGTCTTTTTCCAGGCACTTTGACAGTAGTGTGTTTCAATGTTATGGTTTTCTTATGAACATCATCCATATAGTCCTGTCAACAATTAACACAAAAATTTCACTTTGTTAGATTGACTGTAGTGTATGCATCACTGTAATAATGGTAAGTCTGAGTGCTGAGAATCATATTTTTTCAAAAGCTCTTTTTTAAGGGATGTATACAGAGAAGCTGATTATGGAACAAAAATTTGCATTTTCAAATTGGCTGGCATGGCGTAAACTCTGCCTTTGTTAGTTGTATTCTTGTGAGGCATTAAAACTGCAACTTTCACAATATTATTATGATAGGACAGGCTCAAGTTAATGCTTAAATTGGGATGCAGGGAAGTAACTTAATTTTCTGAGTCTGGGGTGGGGGGTGGGGGAAAGGCTAATTTAAAGAGGGTTCTTATTTAAAGAGTGCACTTATTTTGCTTCTCTAATTCTAGCTTCAAAATTACATTTTCTTAATTTCCAGCCAGTTAATACATTTACTGTGACAGTAAACTGGTTCGTACATGCGTCTGTAAGAAGAAACACACTAATCACTGAGTGGTTGCTGTCAAAGTCCTGTTTCCTCTCAGGTCCTCAAAGTTCTTCCATTCTCCTTCTACACTGTATATTCAGTGATTTTTCTTACTTTATAAAAGATTGGGTTTCTTGGAATAACGGGAGGGGGAGCTAATTCAAAGGAGTCACTTATTTGAAAGAGGGCACCAATTTAAGTATTTACAGTATTATGCTTTTGATATCATGGTGATTAATAGGGTGCTTACATGCAAATTAGGATAGTACGCCAGAACTCCATCTTCTAGGAGGGTAACATATTTTTTCTTCCATTCCTTGTTGATTGAGCTGGTGCTTCTCTTGAGCAAATAACCCTGGAAGAAAAAGAAAATTAAATTATGGAGATGTTATGGTTTCCAACACCAGTGCTAAACAGCAAAGTACAAAAGAAGTTGTACAAATTTAAACTCTTCTGCATGTACAAAGAGGATGATCAACATGGATTGTCTTAACTTCTCTTACTTTTATAGCCCGTTTAAGTAATTAAACATTAGAGTCAGCATTGTAGTCGCTTAATCATTATTTTGGTAGAGACCATTTCGCTGTCATGCAAATTTATCTCATTTTCAAGCAAGCAACTTGCAGCTGTTATTTTTTTTACAAAATTATGCAGGTCACATTCCACAGGTCAGAATGCAGGTTACCGTGACACAGATAAATAAAAAGGACCAGAAGTGTATCCTAGCCCTAAACTCTATCCAACATGTTGTTTTAGATTGAAGAAAAACTGCTTGATTTAGTTACCTACTAATAAAACAGAGACCTTTAATCATAACCTGTGAAATGTGACCTGTAAAATAAACCTCTCCTGCCTCCAGGAACTTGTCTCATTTTCATATTAAAACCATTTGATAACAGGAAACACATGTTCTCCACTGACTAAAAATCCATAAGATATCTCACATCCTTTTTGCTGCTGTTCAAAACCTTAGAATATTGCCCAAAAATTGTCGACTCAACTGCACTTTATTAAAAGGACTACAACTGATCCAGTAATAATAAAATTCACCTGTTTTAAGGGAATTGATCGCCCACTTCCAACATCTGTGTCTGTCACTAATTCCTTCTCCTTCTTTTCTTTCTATAAAAAATATTGAAACTTTATGTTAATAGTAATAACATAACCACAACGTTTTTTATACAAGGGATGTGACAGTATGAACAGTCATAGTTTTAACTTGAAGCCTCTCAACCCAGCAAGGAATTGCTGCTCGGAACAAAGCAATTGTCCTCAAGGATCAGATTAAAGCAGTGATGCACGTAAATTAGCAAATCATGAGAAATAGAAGTGAACTACTAAGGTTTGTTCAATTTGTATACAGTCAGTGGAAGGACGTAACTTACACTGGCTTGAGAATGCTGTGCCTATTAATTAAACAATAATTATAATGAATCCATAATTATTTGAAAAATTATGTGTATACCTAATTCCCTGAAATTATTAGCTCAACTGCCAGAAAAAAACAGTGCCAGAATCACTCAACTTGCACACACTCCTAAAGTATTTCTAACTTAGGACACAAACTTGTAATAATAATATAATCATTAATCCATGACCAAAAGCTTTAGTCAACCATTTGCACAAACTAGCCACTTTCATAAGGAAATTACAGGAATCACCTGTCATGAGTGCAAAGTATTGTTGCTTACATAATTATTGTACATCAAAATATTGTTGCTAATGCACTAGAAGTCCAAATCACCAATAACAGGTTATTAATACCAACTAAACCCTTATTATGTTATTTCCTACTAACCAAAAAGTAAGAACAAGTCTTCATGAGAAACAGTAAATTGAGTATCTGTACCTACATATGAAGATCTAAAAAGAAACTGAAATTCTTGGGAAACTGAAAGCCACTGAAACATTCAACATGGATGGGGAAAATGTTTCAGTTTTGCATTGAATTTCAAAATATTGTGTGTAGATCAGTTGATAATTCTTTCTCCTTCCAAACAATTCACTCCAAGAGCCCATTGTGATACCATCTTGATTCTAGGATTTTTCATACCAACTGCGTAAAAAATTAAACTATCCATAGCCTCAATTCAGCAGTTCTATCCAGTGAAATTTAACTTCCTGACAAGGGAAATAATTTCCCGTCATTCTTGTTTTGTTTTGTTTTGTTTGCCAAAAATTGTACAAATCAAATAAAATCTAATTACTTAAACTCTCATGGCAAGGAAGCCCAAGAGAAGCCACCGGGCTTATCAGCAGGTCATCTTTTAAGGAAGAACTGTGGCCGAGTGGTCAGTGTGTTAGACTTAAAATCCAGCAGTCCATGTCTGAGGCCTCCTCTGACCTCTAGCTGGATTTGTTAAGCAGTCGTCCCAAGTTCAAACTCTTGACCACCTTTGTAAATAGCCAACTGATTGCCTTATGCCAACTGCTTTTTTTCTAATCCTGTTATGCTAAATTTCAAATTATTTGTGTGGGATCCCCTGTGAACTTGCTGTGTGTACTTCCATCATTAACAAAACATTAATTTCATCATTACATGGCCTCTAGAGGATTTTCTACACATTTTAAAACAAAATTAAGCCTGTCACTAACTCATAATCGCTAGCAGATAGAAGAGTAAGTCTTGAGCCCTGCTCCATTCAGTTGTTTTCAGACTGAGAGGCTTGTTACGGTTGGTGTTTTCTATTCTAGCAGTAATGTATAAGGTAGCATACATCAAGAGGAAAGGAAGCAAAATGGGTTCAAACTGTTTTGATTATGACATGGCAACCTCACTAACAATACATAGTGACTTAGAAGGAAAACAATACAGTGTTACTCATTAACTCTGATTACAATGTACATACCGATGAACTGAACAGCATTGTTCTTCTTCTTGACGATCGTTTGGTTGAAGATGATGGTGTTGATGCCGCACTGCTAACAGGGCTCTGTGAAGGGAAATTTGTTTGTCCTTGATCAGGAGGGTCCTTTGCTGTTGGCGAGTGGATTGGATCAAATGATGTCAGAACAGGACTTGTTTCAGTTTTTGCTTGTATCAGCTTTTCAATGGCTGTCAACCAAAAATTTTCAGTGACAAATAAGTACAATGAACACACTTTCAGTTTCTGTGAACTTAAATGAAAGCCACAGAAGCAAACACTCATCATGGCCCTCAGATTACAGCTTAGGATAAGACTGAAGATTTTAGAGCAGTCTTAATAACTGACCATGCTCAACACCCTCTCTGGTGACAGCAAACAAGGCTACATACACCAGAATTGCATCATTTCTGGTCCATATCTAGCCTACCAATACCAAAGACATTTTCAATTCTTAACTTTGTGTCTACATTCCCACAGTCTACATTCAGTGTGACAACTAAATCCGGCTTTCGCATCAGAGCACCACTTTAACGATTACTTTCTGTTGTTTTTGTTTGTTTGTTCCCTTTTTTCTTTTAGGAACCCATAAAATATTTAGGTTGCTGGTTGCCTCTTCTTTTATGTTCTTACCAGTCCTTATTTCCTGCATTAGAGTCCCAAATATACTTGGTCTCTTTATGGCCAACATTTTGAGATGGTGTAGGGCAAGGTGTACAATTAAGAAGAGAAAGCTTACAAAGTTACTTTTCTATTTCATGCGTACTAATCTGTGACATCTCAGCAGGGGTTTATAGAAATTAACCAAGAGAATTGATAAAGATCTCATAATCTAAAACAAAGATTGGTGAATTACAATGAGTATAAGGTAACTGAGGCAACAAGTGTGAGACCTCAGCAGGGTGTGTGACTTTAAATAACCAAAAGTGTTGATAAAGATCAATAATTTATTTTAAAACAGTATTTTCTCATGTTTATGATACAAGTCAAAATCCCAGGACTAATTATTCAGGAATTAGGGCTAGGAGACAAAGAGAAATTGAGATTCATCCTAGGTGAAAAAAGTTGACCTGAATATAAAAAAATATTGACCCATAGAGATATGACTAGTGCAACAGGTGTCACATCTCAGCTGGGTTTGTAACTTTAAATTAACTTAAAAACAGTGATTTAAAATCTGATAATCTTGAGATCTAACCAAGAGATTGTGGGGTGGATAAAAGACTGTCAAAAATTAATTAGTAATATATGGGCATTAAATAAACTTGAATTTATGTACATTTTTCTTTAATAATAGTACAAGTGTACCGGTATTATTAAGCAGTTAGTTTCCACAAGTTCCACTCTTTTAGGGCATAAAGTGCCTGAGCTAGGGATGAAGTTGCAAGAGGGAAAATAATACCGTATCCAATGATAGTTCAATATGGCAAAATTTGGCTCCTATAAGATTAATATAATGACAAATTCAAAACGTACTTGACGTCAAATATTTGATTAAATTGATAGAAAAATTGTGTCAGAAAATACACAAACATGTCATTTCTATTTTACATGAGTACATTTTTTAATGGCCCTTGACAAAACGTAGATTGGACCTAACTAGTGAGGAGGCTATATGGCAAGCAGGGACAAAATTCAGTTACAACTACGCCAGTTATTGAGGACTGCATTGGGACTTGCCATCCACCAGCATACAAGCTTAAAACTGTATAATTCAGAAAGAAGACAAAACTAACAACGGAAAGCTCGGGAAAATTTCCACACTCCAACCAAGATTCTAACTCGTCAATAATAATTAATTCAATCCATCGCAGATAATTATCTAAGACATAGCTTAAATGGTATATCGCGATAATTTTCCTATCAGAACCCCAGCAATCAAAAAGTCATAAAGTATTGATCATTAATTATCAAAAATCAGTTAACACTATAAGTTGCTCAGCACTAAATAATTTTTATCTCAATGTAAAGATGACTGTATGCCAAAGCACAGATCTGCAAGAGTATCCTACTTTCACATTTTAAGGAAATACTCTTCACAAACAAAACACTGCCTTTAATGTAACGGATTTAAATTGTGTTTTGGCCATAATTTTCCAATTAATTGTATTCTTTTGTATTCATAACATCGACTAGCATAAGAATTACATTTTCAAAAAATTTCATTTTCACAAACTGACTAATTATATTTAGTACCGTGAGCAAAGCCAATAAAAATTATCTTTTCACAGGCGGAATTAAATCAAAGCAAGTTTTGCTGGCAAATCAAGTAATAAGAGTTCTAAACACATGCGAGTACTTATTATTATACAGACGAACAAGTTACAAAGTACAAACCCGCCAACACAGCGGGAGACGATGTAAACATAACATTGGGGAAATTCGAAAATTATGCTAAGTGGCTGATTGCTACGAAAACAGAAAGACTTGTTACCGCTAAAGAGGAACGGAAAATTACAAAGATCGCGATGACAAATTGCAAAACACTGCTCGATAAAATCAAGAGAATTAAGTAACATGATTTTTGACAGGGCATAGGTGTAGGAAAAACTTCCGGCGATGAACATGTGCAAGCAAGCGTAAGCGAGAATGAGAAACTGCATAAGCGACTTGAATTGTATTATAATGTGGTGGAATTCGACGCCAAAAAATATTTTTTACCGAACAACCCGCCGGAAATTTACGTTGTACATTTGTAGCTATGCAAACTTCATCACGGGTCTTTTCTTCATGCGAGCAAGGATTCGAGAACTTAAATATCATTTCAACAAACATAATTTAGTGAGTGTTTGTTTTGATGTTTCTGAGTTCTCGAACCGCGCACTATAAACTTTTATACTATGTTCGAAAGAAACCTGGGTCTACAAAGAACTTTGGAGAGAAGAAATCGAGAAACACCCAAAATCGATACTTAGAATGAGCAAAGAGACAATAACTAATTTTATGTAGTGTAATTTTCTAATTCAAGGTAGTAATTAGAATTGGACGTCGAATCTAATATGTGACAGCAATAGATATCAATATCAAGACTCGTGCAACGGGCAATATTAAATCTTTACATCTGCCAAATGTGTGTCAAGCAAATTTACATCGAAGGCAATATTTCTGTTTAACTAAAACAACTGCGAAAATATCGAACCAAGGACTCGATTGTGTAAATTTCTAGTGAAAAACTATGACTACAGTATTCTAACTTTAACAGCTCGCTGTGCTTTCATTTGCAGATCGAAGTAAACAACAAACTATATTAAAAAGAGACGACTATCGTTATAAATATTATCTTGAAAATTAATTTCACGGAAAGACGATCATTATCAAAGACTCTCGTATGCGACACGCATCAGACAACAGATAAAAGCAAAAGTGAAGTACTACAGCAATAACGCTGGGCTTCAAAAAAAGAAGATCAATAAACACTTGTAATGCACTTACTTTTAGCTTGAAAAGCTAAAAGAATCGAAGAAACTGAAAACCTAGAGACTTACTTGCCAGATCTGTTGCATCCTTGATGATATCGTAAGATCCAGAGAGCTGAAAGCTTCTTCGCATCATATTTTTATGCTATTTAAAGAAGGCTCAAATGTAATCAAATCTTCTCCAACACAAACTGATTATAATTGTCACTACGGATGCCAGATTCGCGACGACCAAATCTCTCCCAAGCAAAAACCATCGACGAAAAGACCATTCGATGAAATTATTACCTTCGTAGAAGATGTCTGAACTAAGTAAATGTTTCCAGAACTTTCGTTTCCTCGATGCAAGCTACTCCATGGTGAAAGAATACCACCTTTGTGTTTTTGTCTTTTAGCTTATGCTCGGCCTCCAATCGCCACAGCCCGCCTTTCAAAGAAAAGGTGCGGAACAACTTTGTCGATGAACAGTTCTTCCCTCCCTTTCAATTCTAGAAAAAATCTTTTCTAAACCTGCTCTTTCTCAAAGATGATCAAAAATCTCGGTATCAAGCCAGCTAGGAGTACAAACAGTTTCTCTTATCAGTCAATTGTTGCTCAGTCCTCAGGAAAATGTTGGTCAGCGGCTAACCGTTCATTAACAACACTGTTTTGCACGTTTCAAATTTCACAAATACTTTTAAACCGAAGATCGTCTCTCTTCCGGAAAATAAGTGCCATATTTCACTTAACAGAATAAGAAAATTTTATGCACTTTAAGCCACACAATAAACGTCAAAAAATTTTACAAATTATATGTAAAATATCTAACCTAAAGTAAGTTGCCATTTCTGCCACTTCTGTTTCGTGTCAAACCTTTATTTCATGTCATGCTTGATCGGGAATGAAACATTTCCGGTTTAACACGGCTGGCTGGCGGGCGAAAGGGGTTAACAAGATTAGTTACTTAGTTTTTATCCCATAGATGACTTTTATTACTTAGAATAACAAAACTTCCTCCACGAAATCATTTAAATGATTGTGTTAACAGCATTTCGCCTCTTTTTCTCCAGCCAATTGTAAATTTAAACCAGGTAAAAATAATTTCCAAAAATTTGCATATTAACGTGAAAACGGCAAATATTTTTGTTATGATTCATAATTTCCCCATTTTTGTTCCTGCTGTCCATAAGAGCGATGACGCTATTTCCGAACCACTTTCATAGGGAAAAATTATTGCGCATGATTATTATTACAAAGGGGAAGAAAAGAAAAGAAAAAGAAAGTGATTCGGAAATAGCGTCATCCCTGTTATGGACAGCACGAACAAAAATGGGGAAATTATGAATCATAATCATGCACAATAATTTTTCCCTTTTTCGTTATCATTTAATTCGCGCTGTGCTACACTGCGAAATTCGTCAGGTGGCCTCTAAAAGTGCTGATAATAATGCCTGCAGTGATTCAATTAGAACTGTTTCTGTAAACAGTGAATTCGCTGACGGCGGAAGGGGGGGGACTACGTTCTGAGGATTTGAGTGAGGGAGGGGTAAGACTGAACAGGTTGACTGTACGATGAGCCCCAGAAAAGAAAGCGGCTAGGAAACAAAAAATAAACATTGCTTGACGATTTTAACACGTTTCACACAACACAAAGACAACTGCAAACTGTGTGAAACGCATGCGCCGGGCGGGGTGTGTGGGGGAGCTGTAAGGGAGGCCTCGAGATTACTGCTCGTGAGAAATTCCTAAATTCCTCCCTTTCTGCCTTTCCAGTCCCTGTCAACAGTGTCAAACAGGCTAACAGCTTAACAATACAACACATGTACATTTTGCCGTTAAAAATGTCGTTTATTCGACGATGTTACGCAAATTTAACAGTGACGACTCGAATTTACCACAAGGTGGCACGACTTGGCAAAATTTTGAACGCCTTCGCGTTAAAAAGCAGGTTGGAGAGGTTGGATAAACCTTCGCAACAAGCACAACGCCCCCGTTTTGTTAAGGTCAATGCCACACGAACACGCATTGTTTCGCAATGAAGATTTTAAAAGCAATTGTTAAAAAGGTTTCTATTACACTGGACAAAAACAGCCAAAAAGGGTTAAGGCGAGTTTAGGCATAGATTTAGCCTGATTTGCAAATGGTTGCTAGGATGGTTAAAATAAAAGTCCAGCGATCGCCGTGATTTAATGTAGAAACAACTCTTCATAGATCGCTGAGACTTTATTTTTGGTTTCCGTAGATCGCAACGATCATTGAAAAGTCCAGCGATCTACAAACCAGGATCTCAAGAAGAAGGCACTCAAGGGAGTGCATGTGGCTTTTGCCTCACTCCTGCGCCGAGGCTCTTTTAGCCCACAGGATCGTGGAACGAGCTAAAGGAACGTCTGCGAAAGGGGAGGACTATGGATAACACCCTAACCGCGGTCAAACTAACACGCTCCTGATTTACTAAACTTGTTGGAAATCGATTGAAAGTTTATTTTAAAAAAGTTCTGGCTGTTTGAAAGATAAAACTGTCAAAACTGCAGACCTGTCGTCGCCATTTGCCAAAAAACCTTGTTGGGCGTGAAACATTTTCAACGACAAGAATCGGCTTTTTAAGTAAAAAAGAAGAAGAAGAACGTCACGTTAACCATGTATGTAAGACATTTTTGCGGATAACAGCAGTTACGTACAAGCTCTGTGTTACTTTTTAACTTAACAGCGATTGCCGCTAATAAAAAGAAGATGCGGGTGTTGAAGCCTACCGCGGGCAGCAACCAACGTTCAGTGTATGTACTCAAATGTTATTGTAATAAAATTAAACTAATTGTTTGAAAGAAATTTAAAAGAATGAAGAGGTACGTATCTGTTATAACCTGTTTACTTTTTAGATAAGTAAAAGTATGTTTAGAGTAACCTGCGGCCTGTGTCGCAGACATTCTAAACCGCCGGTATAAAGCCAATAGTCTGGACGATGCGAGGGGCGGCTGTAAAGCAGGCTACTTTTGAATAAAAAAGCAGCTTTACAGGTCGTTAAGTAAAGATTCTTTGCAGATTTACTTTAGAGCCATTTTTGACCAATACACTAAGCCATAACACAATGGTTAGGCTTCTTTAACCGGAAGCTTTGAAGATGAGTATTTAAGAGATATAAGCCTAACCAAAAAAAACCATGGAATTAGAACTAACCTGTGTTAAAAACACGATCCACATTGTCTCCTGTCAGAGCCGAGGCCTCCATGTAGACACACTGTTTAAGTTCTGATATAAGCTTCTTTATTCGCTGCGTGCTTACAATCCCTGACTGATCAATACTCATAACACCGTCTTTGGGGAAAAAAAAGGACACCTGTTTTATAATTTCTAAAAGAATGAAAGTGGCATAATTATAAAAATCAAAATTGTGTGTATTTTTGTTATCGTTGTCGTTGTTTTCTTTTTATTCTTATTTCTGCATTCGGACGCGTTTTCGCCCTGAAAACGGGTGATCTTAAGTTGTTCCCTAAGCCAAACCTTACAAAGCTGACAGCGTGCTTAAGAATTGATCTGATTAGGTGGCTTGAGGAATTGCCGGAAGCAAATTAAAGGTCGGCATTTGTCACTCTTTAAATACAGGTAAGGTGGAAAGTTTGAGTTTAAAAAGTTTTAACTTAACCCTAGAAAATGAAATAACATAAACCAGAGGCAGAAGTTTCCATTCGGGAAATCTCTTAAGTCATATCATCCGACCCAGTTCCCAGGTCTTGCAGGGTGTGCCCAGACCCGAAATGCACCAAATACTACCCCACCCCCACCACTGCCCAATTCCCTCTCCAAAAAACTCCTATATTGTTTCATTATTTTTTTAACTATCTCATTTGATTTTTTTTTTGCTCACCATTTAATGCAACCAGGACCACAGGAATATCCGATATGTACTTCCTATATTGAGCCATTTTTGCATAGTAACTGGATAAAACACTAAAGCTAAGCTCATCATCCAGGCTAAAAACAAAGATCACTGCATCCACCCACTGTGTAAACTATAAGGAAAAGAAAAAAATTTTCACGAGCTACATTACACCAACAGACAGCCCGGAAGAGTGGACATGTAGCCTTGATAGTTTTTTGGTTGATGAAAACTTTGCCATTGCATATGAAGGTACTACAATACATCTTCAGCCCCGAAAGTGCTGAAATACGTCTTAACCTTTATCTTGCTAGCAAGATTTTGAAGTGGCTTTTTGGACAGTAACTTTAACTTTGGAATAATTTCTCGTTTTAATTGGCTGAAAAAAGTGGACACAAACAGGATATTCTACAAAAACATCTTTAGATTGATCGATTGATCTTTGCATGCTACGGGGCACATGCCATGAACTTTTGTGAGTCTTTGGGGATTTTTATGTATCAGGGACACAGGACGCAGAGGTAACAAAATCACCGATCATCATCATCATCATCATCATCATCATCATCATCATCATCTTTATCCCCATTATCATCACCAAAATATTGAATACCTGCAAATCAGGAGGCCCAGTCTCGTTCCTGATCAATAACAGATGGCTTTGCCCATCATAACACACTTCCTTCTTGTGGCGCCCAGTGAATGAATCCACCTTTGCATACTGACCAGTCAGATATCTGTGCAATAAGTCTGACTTGCCAGAGATTGAGCTACCAACAATGCCCTACAAAAAATAAACTGTGAGAGTCCAAGCAAAAAAATATAATGCAAGGTCAGGTTGTTTAAAGCATCGTTAGCAAACTGGGTTGACTACATATAGAGCATGGCATTATAAAATGTACAAACAGAGCATACAGTGCTGTAGTATTATCATGTGTTTTGGTGTGGAAACTAACTTTTGTATCTAATTGTCTTAAAGTCTTGAACAATTTGGTCCAGTTGAATATGTTCCCCCTGAAAAGTCTGGGAGATCTGAGAGGCATCTCCATGGATTTCAAAACCCATATGCTGGCAGTACGTACACTGCAGCTGCCTACGGGACGTCTTACTGCTGTAAGAGTGACACACACTAGCCTGTGACTCCTCTGCCATTTTTTTGTTCTTACCACAGTTCGACGTCGTCTATCCCATGTATCTGAACAGATGCATGGCAACATGGAATCTATTTGTTAAATACTAAAGTTTGCCATCATAAATATTCTTTATTGATAAACTAGAATGCTTAAATTGTATTCTCTGGGAGAAAATGAGCATATAGCCCCTTTTTGCTGACAGGAGTCTAGTCCACAATTCAGCAACCACTTAAAACAAAAAAAATTATTCTCATCCCTGAATATTTAATTTAAAGCCAAACTTTTGGTCATGGACGGTTATGAAAGACTCTATTTTTCTGCCACAGTGTATGGTTTCCCTTTTAACAAGTTTCAACTGCACGCTAGTTTTTGTTTGGAATAATGAGTAAACAGGGGTGGGGGGAGGGTAAAGTGTTCAGGGAAACTTTGGGGAGGTGATAGTATTAGGAGACAAGAGAATTAAGACTCACCAAGCGTAATTCACAATTGCTGTCCACTCTAAGGGTTGTAAACTCTGGACTGTTCAAAAAGGATTCTGGAAAAAGAACAAAATTAACTTTTAGATACCTTATTGGTACTTAATTTGCGGGTACTCAATTTCACGATTTTAGTGAGACAGTATTTTGCTTGCTTTTATTTTCGCGATTTCAATACACAAGTATGAAAAGGGGCATTAAATTTTGCGACTCAAACGTTCTCAACAGACAACTTCACGTAATTTTTCAAAATTTCTGAACTTTTAAAAATTTTTAGATAAAATGGATGAAAATGTTAACAAGATTCTTTACTCCAAATGTGAAACCTTTACAAATTAAGGCTATTTCACAACAGAAGATACACATGTACAAAAAAGAACTTACCAGTTAAACCAGTTAATAATTTGTGTATTTGTCGATGCACATCCTTTATATGTTGTTGTTATTAAATGTTATCCTTTTTTCCTGTGATTTGAATTTTGTTTACAAGTATTAAATTTCATGGGGATTTTTATTCACGGGTCTTTAATTTCATGATTGTTTTATCATTGCAAAAAACAAGAAATTGAGTACCATAAGGTAGTCACCTTCAAGCTTAAAAACTCACTGCATGCATTCCATTAATTTTTGTAACCTTATCTGCCTGGACACTATATGAAAAACACATTTTAATGTTTTTGAAAAACAGTAAGGGCTGTCCTAGACGTCAGGTGTATGCAACTTAGCCTGGGAAAAAAGCCACTATTTCATGATGCTGGTTTCCCGCAAATAATGTCTGAGGAACAAGCTTAAAAATTCCATATTAATGACGTGATACTGTCCATATCTGGGTAGTGCTTCTTGTTGGTCGTGCCACAAGGAAAATTTGCTTCAACCAATCAGGTTACATAGCGGCACATCATCAATAAGGAATTTCTGCACTTATTCCCTAGACTTCGCAAGGAAACCAGTGGTAGCATTGTAAAATTTTGGCTGTTTCCTCAGGCTCTATGTAAATTGTATGCCACACAAAAAAGTAAAGAAACATTCATCTGGTACATGTAAATGTTTTTTTTTTCAGTTTTGACCATAAATTTTAAAAAGCTGGTTCCTGCTTCTTGGACTTATAATAGGTGGTGATCAGTGCCCTAATATCCAGTGACAAATGGATTTTCATTTTTGATATTCTTTTTTTTTTCTTCCTTTTAAAAACCTTTTAGTCCAGAAATTCCCTTGTACTGTACTTTACGAATGAATATAAATTATACCTGCCCAGTAAAATATTTGGTGGCTGAAGAAAGTTCAGAAAACTGTCAGTCTTATTTTTAAGTCAAACAATGAGATTCATTCAAGGTATCTTTTAGAAATCTCTTCAGTGTTTCACATTTTGATTTTCTGTTCCAGTTTGCCAAGCCATAAAACCACTAAAAGTTAAAAGTAATCCAGCCCTGTACATGTGTGTGTGTGTGTATTTTTTTAGTACGAATCCTTAAAAGGAGCATTTTGGTATTAGTTTCACTCAGATGTCTAGCCAACCCCTTTGTCAAGCCTCCAGAAAACTCAAGGTCAAGGAGTCACCTGCCAATCACCTATGACATGAAAAAATAATATAGGATTGAAAAATAAAATAAAAAAGAAAGGTAACAAAAAAGAAAAAATGTTCAATTCAAATAAGGTGGTGCTCCTGCAGCAAAGGTTTAAGGCATTTGTAGCAGGTCAAAAATCAAAAACTATCAAGAAATGCTTACAATGACATTCAGTTTGTGTTCCAGGTTATTGTATAGAATGACGTACCACTTGCTGTGCAGACATAATGTAATATGCAGGGATGTCATTAAGGGCCGGCTGCTGGCTCCAGCTCAAATTGCACCCAAAAAAAACATCGAGCAATTTTAGAGATGCAGTTGAGTAAAAAGGCCAGCTTGACTACTTAATAAGCCTGCTTATCTATTGATCTTTTCCTTAGCTACATCTCTGAATGTACATAGGAAAATTTCAGTGCTATATGGTATACCGTTCATATTAGTTTGCCAGTCATATACTTCCAAACACTGTGCAACGATTTATGAAGCTTCAGTAAATACAGTCTAGAAAACCGTCATTTTGTATGACAAGGCAGCTCAGTACCTAGAATTAGAAGGCTTTATTTTATGAATAATATATTACTTAAGCTAGACTGAATAAACAAATAAAATGCCCAACAGTTGTAGATACGCCACATTTTACATTTTGAATTTTTAGGGTTCTTAAGTTGCATCGAGATAAAACTTTAATTTGGGAATGTCTCCTTTCCACTGAAACTTTCCCATGCTAAATTAGTTATATACCAGTAAAAGATGAAAGTTACAATTTCTCTTGAATGATTTCGACACAAAATATGCAAAGAATATTTCTTCTTCCTGACACATTTTTTTAAACTAGCAAAATTCATGCAATGTTTTAATATTGTTTTTGTCATTCAACAACATCTGTTAATTGAAGAAGTATTAATTTCAAATGACTTCTTCTTGCCTCTTGAAATAAGTGCAGTCTTCATTTATGTAAATATAAAATTTTTGGTTAAAAGCACCAATAGTCACAAGCAAAAGAAAAAAAATTAAATCATACATATATATATTGATGAATTAAATGTCCTACATATTCACCTCACCACCCCAATTCTAGAACACATTTCTTCCACAAAGTAATCGTTACATACATTTTAGTTTTTAATAATAACCTATTGAAATTTGCCTGTTCTGTTGACATTATGCCTATTTCTCCAAAGGATGCCAAATTACTCTCCTATTTTATTTCTCCCTAGGGAGAAGTCTATTTGATTTTGATTTACATGTACACCACAAGAAATGCAAATAGGTGACTCTTTTTAAGAAAACAAATTTCAGACAACAAAAATAATCTTCTGCTCCTAAATTAAAGAGGTTCTTATGCCGGTGAAATTGACAACCTGAAGACGTGAAACGAGCAAGGAAAGTCATGGAATCTACTAAAACAAAAGATGACTTTTAAAAGCTGTTCTAGCGACGACACTACGTAGATCAGCGCTTGAAATTACACTACTCAATATTTTAAATAGATACAGCTGAAAAAGTAAACATTTTTCTTTTGTCATGTACGAAATGGCCACATACGACCTACAGCGAGTTCTTGCTTTGCTAAAATAAATTCTTGTTTAAATTCACCAGTCACTGTTAATCAAGGGTGACCTTGAAATTCGAACACATTGAAAATATGTTATGAGATGAGGATCGAAATTTCTGGCGCGATATAACACCGTAAACCGTTGAGTGCTGTAAAATCAGTTAAAAATGCACTGTGTTGTCACGGCATGCATGTAAACAAAAGGTAAAATCTCGATCGGGTGAATTTAGAAATAACATTTCGAAATCGACGCGCTTGCAACATATTTGTTGACCATATATATGGCAATTACATGAAGGAAAGCATAAGTTATCCTGCTTCGTTTTTACAACACGGGTTCTTCTCAATTTTTTTTTCCAAAAAATCGATCTTCACTGAGACTACCAGTAAGGCAAACACACTTGTTTGGCGCGTTTGTTCTGAGATCACAAGGAACGTGCATGGTCAGGTATCGAGGCAATCAAAGAAAATGAGAATTCTTCGGTGTTTTGCGGGATAGCTTTGTTTACAATCTGCCACATATATTTCGCAAAGGACGAAAGTCAAGTGATGGTTTGCTGCCCTCGCATTTCTCCATTTCAGTGAATAAATTATACTTGGTTTTACACCTTACCGTCATCACAGATTTATCGCTTACACTATAAATTTGAAATAGAAAAACTCTTCAAGGTTCTGTTTATAAGCTTTCGAAACACTGGCAGCTTCTAGACTTTGAGCCACTAATCCTCCAAAAAATCCAGTCTGAAAGGTGACTTACCCTCGATGCGATTCACTAGCTCTCTCATTTTGCGCTTCAGTGGCACATTGTCGATTTCTTCTAGAAGGTCGTACAGCGATTGAATGTTCGGACAGACAGACTCAAACCTTTCCGCCTCCTGCCTCATAGCAATGGCCTCTAGAGAATCCGAGACCGGCATTTTTGTTGCAAAATATTTAGCACGAGAAAAACATGTCTATGTCGTTGGTAGATGAATGAAATTTCAGTATTAAACTCAGCTGTTTGTTATAAATTTGTCACCAGTGTCACGCACGCAAACTTAGAAACGAGGCCACATGATTGCACTCTGGCTCCTCTTCAGCCAAAAAGCTCCAAAAGGCTGCATTCTACTGCTTTTGTAAAATCATTTCAATTTTTTGCACCTGTAAAGATCTTTAAAAAAGGACCAGCTGTTTTAAAATGAATATTGACTTAAGTATTTTTTTTCCTTGTTTCTTACCGCACTCTTAGTCACCTTGATTGACACTTAAAACTGAGCATATGATAAGCATATGAAAAACACTTTGAATTTTCGAGAAGCGAATTGCCTTCCCGTGGTAACAGGTACTGAATAAGTTATTATCCACAACCCGTTCTACCGGAAGTGGAGAACCATGCAAAAATTAAGCCGTACATCTTTCACTCAAAGATATCATCAATATTTTCGACAGTTAGAAAGATATTTACATCATAAAACCTTACTCCGATAAATAGATAAAGAAATCGGTGTGCGCTGTGGTTTATAGACAGGCCAGGACGACTTCTTTATGGCTCGGTATTGTTAAAAAAGCACGCACTCTACATCACGTGCCTGTTTAATCGGGATAACCTGCACGCGATCCACGTCGTCAACATGTGTACCAGTCACGGGATTTTCTCTAAAAGAAAAACAGAGTCGACGAAAAAGTGGTCTCCCCCACCCACACTCAAATAGCTCTGATTAGAAAAGTGCTCCCCACATCCACTATGAAGACTGAAAATACAGTTAATCTGGGAACAGAAAATTCTCCTTCTCTGTTCTCCACCTGGACGAAGAGAACCAACGATGACTTAAACTTTCAGAATGTTGTCTTGACAAAAACAATCCTCCTCACTTTTTATCCGCATCATCAATACCTTCAGGGAAACCAGGCGCCCTCTCAGTATTGACAACTGATTCCACTGATAAAGGAAAAATATGGTATAGTGCCCACTCGCACATAATCCTGGCCTGGGTGACAGAGAGTTTCGTGGGCAGTTTCCGGTTTTGGTCAAGTCGTCATAGTGGCTTTCATTCGGCCGAAGATGTGGCGGATGCAACCAACCCCGAAGCTTCTCGTCGCGATCGCCGCAAGCATGGTGAGATTTTTTTAAAAAAACTCTCTGATACTCAACCCCGTCCCAAGGGCTTTTCCTATAGAAAATGGGAGGAGCGGCTTTCCCATGTTTTTAAGGGGAAAATGCTGAGGAAGTAAGGTACCTCGAAAAGTATAATGCACAACCAGAAGTGACCATAACCACCATCATTCACCATCACCTACAACTATACTGGGTCAAGACTCAAGAGGTTTAAGAAAAAGCTGTCTGATCCCAAGCTTAGGCGTGTTGAGGCACAACAGAAAGTTAACAATAATTCAGACGTTTGTTTTCATTTTGCGTCTGAACAGAAAACAAGTTTAAGGGGGGCGACGTCGAAAAAGCTTCGAAAAGCCCGAATTTTATAATGGTGTGCGGAGCCTAATCAAGTTTTGGGCCCCAGGCTATGGGATCTAGCGATATTGAAAGACTTTGAGAACTTTAAGGTGACAACAAAAACTTAGTGGCTCTCAGGAATGACACATCGCTGGTCCAGTACTCTGAAAGTTTAGAATCAAAGAAGGCTTGAGCCATTTTTCGAAATATCTCTATTCCCTCAACTATTCTATATTCTGTCGTTCCAAACTACTCAGATTCTCTGAACCAGAAAATGCTTGGCTCTTGAATGAGTCGAGGGCACTAGCATATTAACATGAACAGACATGTTTTGATTTGAATGAGCTTAGGGTCTGGCGGGGGCAGGGGTTCGGTTATTGCGTTTGAAGGCAAAATACTGGAAATAAGGGATGGTAGACTGAAAGCCTTGGTGTTCATCAAACAGTTAACAGTCGAGTCTCAAGTATGCATGAATATTTAAGTCAGGGTTTATTTTCATGCGCGTTCCCCTTGTTTTGTAGTACGTTTTAAATCCCCGGTTGTAATACGTTCTTTGAAGCTAAGCTAAGAAATGCAATATATATATTAAGGCCCTCGAATCCGGCCAGCAAAGTGGAAGTCTTGAAGACAAACACTTGGACTTGTTGTATACAAATAACTTAACAGCAGTGGTGTTGTTGAAGCAAGTTGAAAAGTTGTCAGAGTTCTAACTAAACGAAATTGTAGCAAATATATTGACCAATCATGGCATAGTGCCGGAGCAAGGTGTGATTATAACAGCCGAATAGTACCGGATTAGTCTTAGTATTTTGTGGCGACGTTGGCCCTTGTCGAGTTTCTCTTGCTCCGTTTGCATTTTAAAACACAAACTCGTCATGCACCAACGAAATACCAGTTTAAAGACTCAATGCAAAGCTAACAAGAAGACAAAGAATTTACCTTGGTAAAAATTTTTTTCTTCGATACTCGCCAAGTAAGAATCCCTTCGCTTTACCACCAACATGATTTCACGCTATCGCTTGAGATCATCATGAACTAAATCTGTGATTTCTCGGCCAAGCAAAAATATATTGTTCTACCATCGCGTGACCTTAGGTTCTCAAAGTAAGATGAAATCAATAAGTTCTCCAAACTGAGACAAAAAGCTTTAATTTATTCTAATTTGGAGAATTTATGGTTTGATCATTGTACTATATATATAGGACTTTCGTGTCAATAAAATTGATGAGCTATATGTAAGAGCATTGTGTCTGACATATTTTCAATAAACTTTAAAATCAATGATAGTGTGATATTTTGATGACGCCACTTGAGCCACTTTCTAGTATTTCTCCTAGTTTCGACATTTTCTTACTCCTCAGTAATCATTCAGGGTTTTCAAGGCTAAGTAGGCAGTCAAGATTTAAGTGAAAACTCCAAAACGCGAAAAAAACCCGGATGTGGTCGAGCGCCACAATGTATGCAACTTGCCCTGCAAGCATTTTAGGAATATAATCAGCTGTTTCGGATATTGTATCACAGTCAGGTCATTAGTATTTCAAGGAAATAGTCAGGATTATCATTCTGGATGTTCAAATTTAGTATTCTAAAAGCTGATAGAAAAAAGTTTTGTTGCAACGTAATGTACATGTATAAACATAACATCAAACAGCACAAGAAATATTGAAACCCGTTGGGATTGATACGGAGAAGGGAATTTAACAATTTCAAATAATCAATTCGTTCTGATTGCCTAAACATCTATAGCTATTTGCATTACCACAAGAATTTAAAGCATTGCCAAAGCGAAAATACTAGATGGAAGTAAAATAAGTAGCACTAATGCTATTAAAACTATTTTTGTGCCGGAGGATTCAGACCTTCGAGCATGTCAGGATGGACTCGCTCATATCGAGATCTGAAATGATATCGTCTGGTTCAAATATTCAGTATTCTGTCCGATTGAAAAAAACTTTGACGCTTTGAATGGATTACATTGCTATCAATCATATGAAGACATTTCTATCGAGTTTGAATAGAATGATGAGCTGACAAAAAAATTTTAACTAACAATGTGAATATCGCCCGCCGGGGGTACTCCCTTAAATAAGCAGTATCGGTATGTGCCGCCCCATCGGGTCGGCTTTTTGCGCCGTTTTGGTCTGAAAACGAGTATACGCTTTGCCCATATTGGTCTGGAATCGGGTTTTAAGGGAACTACGGGAGTGTATGAAACGTATTTATCATTTCAATTCCAAATGAGTAAGAAAGAAAGAGAAACATGGGAATTCGAAAGGGGTTTGAAGAATTTTTTTAGTTTGTGCTCTAATCCAAGTGAAGATAACATAATTTCTGCTTTAAGGCCAAGTCTGAAAACGGGTGTGGAAAATTACATTTTTTGGTCTGAAATACGGTCAGGATTAAGAGAACCGGGGGGCACACCCTCACTAAGGATTCCAAGGAGTATTCCCAGGGGGAATACCGGAGACGTCGTTGCCCGTTTGAAATAATCAAATTATTGATAGAGTATATGGGCAGGGGTACGCTTTGCCATGGTTTAACCTTTAAAACCTGACTCTCATTGACCCGACATAAATAATTGGGGGGGGTGGGGGGAGACTTGTTATAATATCAAACAAATTTATCTTGCATGTGTGATCATGTCCTTCATTCTCGTGACCACTTTGTTTTATGGAGCCTTGATTTTACAAGGAAAAACTAGATGCTGATCACTCTGTGGCTAAAACGGGTTAACTAAAATTCGTAGGATAAGAATTCACGAACACCGACTGTCCTCTCTCTTCTCCCTCACAAAAACAGGTCTCTGCTTATTAAATCTACGAGAGACAGTGTACGAAAAGCTAGAGAAGCATACCTCATCGAGAGAGGTAAAACTCTTGAACCATTAGGTATGAATAAGAAAGATGAAATGTATTACAGTTTTTACTTCTTCTATTTGTTAACATTTATTTATACTTTTTTTTATATCAGTGTTTCAAATATCTTTCAATCACTACTTCAACGGTTTTTGTTTTCAACGTTCACTTTATTTTTTTTTCTCAATTATAGCATCATAGTGCACGCTATTCTTTAATTTTCAAATTGTAACGTCTTGGCTTAACCTCTTCATTATATGTAAGACCCTGAAGAAGGAAGGCCGTGCCTTCCGAAATATTGGTAGAAATATATATATATATATATATATATATATATATATAAATACTTGTATTCTGGGTAGAACGTATTCCGTAGAGCGCTCAATTCATTTAATTGAAGAGCATTGATTATTAATAATCACAGGAGTTCAGGCTTCAGGAGTAATCATTGATCGTTTATTGCGACAGTGCTGTTTCGTATGGTCCGAAATTGTAGGACCACACTCATCAGGCAACTTCAACGATTGACCGTTAAAATTAAAAGCTGGCAGTAAATATAGGGATGCGTTAAGAGATAGTATCTACGTAACAGTCACCAACGCAACAACCTGACACCTGCAATTGCAGAAAGAAACCAGATTGTCCACTCGAAGGAAAATGCCTCCAATCAAATGTAATCTACCAAGCCACTGTAACTACAG